TACAACTTTAGTACGCGGAGCAATCTGTGGAGCTGGAAGCTGAGAACAGGCGACTTTGCACAGTACAACTATCTGGGGAGCTGGAAGATGAGAACTGGCGACTTTGTAGTACAACTTTAGTACGCGGAGCATCTGGAGAGCTGGAAGATGAGAACTGGCGACTTTGTAGTACAACTTTAAATACGCGGAGCAATCTGTGGAGCTGGAAGCTGAGAACTGGCGACTTTGTAGTACAACTTTAGTACGCGGAGTATCTGGGGAGCTGGAAGATGAGAACTGGCGACTTTGTAGTACAACTTTAGTACGTGGAGTATCTGGGGAGCTGGAAGATGAGAACTGGCGACTTTGTAGTACAACTTTAGTACGCGGAGCAATCTGTGGAGCTGGAAGATGAGAACTGGCGACTTTCTAGTACAACTTTAGTACGCGGAGCAATCTGTGGAGCTGGAAGCTGAGAACTGGCGACTTTGTAGTACAACTCTAGTACGCGGAGCAAGCCGTGGAGCTGGAAGCTGAGAACTGGTGACTTTGTAGTACAACTTTACTACGCGGCTGAGTCATCTCTATTCTGTATTTTGCAAAATGCAAGACAGTTGACGGTGGTTGCTTCGCTTTCGCTCCATTGGTCGGTTCCAACTTGGGTTGTCAAAGAACATCGCGGGTCGGCGAATCAGCCTGCCACATGCCCTTTTCCTATAGGCTTATTCTTTTGGAAACTTCCGCCGCCGGCTGGCCCGGGAACTACTTGTATATCAAAAAACATATATAGCCCCAAGATGGAACTGGATTTTCCTCCGAAACTTTTTGTTTTGCTTGTCACTCAGCATGGCTGAAACTTTCGGCAGGATGCCGATTCCAATGGTGATCTAGACACGACTTGTGTTTCCTCTTCCTCTGGACCAAAATCTTCAATCTAGTAAGTTTGCCTCCCAAGCCACTAAGTCCCTTCGTTCCCTCAGATTCAGAAATCGCAAGGATCCCCTTGAAGCCATCAGATTTTCAATGCAACTTGAGGTCCAGGGTTCAGTGTTGTCGTGTCTTGTCGAGGCCCAGAGGCACGCCTAAGCAGCTCCTTCCTGGCACGGAAGTAAAAAGCCACGCCCCAGGACGGAGGGACAGGCACCGAACACAGTGGCTGCGTGGTTGGCACGGAATAGACAGATATACTCATACTCCATTTTACCGCACACGCTTCGCACGATCTCCGAGTGCATCGACTCAGCATTACGTGTTACCGCCCCACCGGGTGGGGCTTGAACACCGGCCCACGCGTTGGGTTCTTGGTGCGTTTCATGTGTTGCTTGTTGCACCGAAGATCCTCATCCTGAGATCAACAGTGACCGGCTGGATGGGGCTTCGTTGTACCACCTGGTCATCGGGCTTCCAGCTCCGACAGATGTCTCACGTCGAGCTCGTCCCGTGGGGGTTGACGATGTGACGATGTGACGAGAGCATCTTCGTTTGGGGGGTGGGGTGTGTTTTTTTTTCCTTTTCCGTGGGGCTGCACGTTGCACAGAGACGTGTTGGGTATTGGATTGATCGCGGTGGCAGCACGGCAGCGCGTATCCCTGGATCTATGGGCTTACAGTGCAGCGGTCTACGCAAGAGCGAAGGGAACGGAGTGAAATGAGCAAGTTATTGGCATGTAAGTCTGTGTGAGAGCATTGCGTAAGAGATCATACAACAATCACCATGTTAAAGCAATACAGAAACAACACAGATACAATTTTTCTTTGCTCTGAAACGTGTGTGAAAGCTGTTTTTTCACTGTCTTGGACATGCAGCTAAGGTCCGTTCCCCAACTAATTTGGAATCCGCTAGCACGGACTGCCAGAATCAAGTGCTCCGCTTGTGCTCCGCTAGGGCGGACTTCGCAACAAAATGGGAGTCTTTTGGATCGCCATCTCGCACCGATGCTCGTCCTCGTCCTCCTCGTTCCGAACGAGCATGAACGAGCAGCTCCGCGCTGTCGTCCTCGTATTCCTCAAGGCTCCCAGTAACCCACGGTTTCCTCACTTCCGTAGCCCTGTTCGTAGCGTCCTTGCTCCGTTCGTAGTGATGCCAGGAGCCCCGTTCGTAGCTTCTTGTTGCTCTATGCCCTCTCCCGGTGGCCCACGGAACCATTTCCTGAAGACCACGCCCGACTCCGGTCGCCCGCGAGCGGTCAGCCCAGCAACGACACCGCATACACCATGCGTCCGCACGGTCGGCGTATGCAGTCCCTCTTTCGGGGTGGGTGAGAATGGCGTGACATGGGTGGCATGTTGCGCACATGGGTTTGGTATTTGATTGATGCTACATGCAGATATGCGTTGCAGATGTAACAAGGGTCGCGCAGCACGCAGCGAGCAACGCAGTGTCATACATAGATGGTAAATTCAGTGAAACATGCAATGCATGCATATATACATGCAAGCTGCCTTGCAAACCCAAAGGGCAAGGCAGGAACGTTGCTGACCAAAACAGCTGATGGTTGCGGGAAATCAATGAACATATGGTTGCCATCCAATGTCATTAGCGCTCACAAATCCAACCATTCCGTGAACCCGCCGCTGATGTAATAATATGTGCACAGCTGGCAGTACAGAAATCTTGCAAACGATTCGCTGGTGAAACACTTGGCAAAAGCGTTGCTCAATTTCATATAAAGGTGATGAAAAGACTTGAGGTGGGAATCAACCTTTGAAGCTCCATTTTACGAATCGAGACGAAGCCTGCATTCTGCACATTTTGACCTGCAAAACGTGCGACGCCTGAGTGGGGTCGATCCATTGCTTTTGCTTTCAGTCCCAACTTTATTTGATCTTACTTGCAACTTGTAATGACCCCAGCTGACAGCTTGGATGTGAATCTAGTGTTGTGTATTGGAATAAATAGCTACTATATATATATATATTTATTTTTATTTTTATTTTTTTTTTTAATTGGTGAAACATAGAACCTGAAAACCGACTGTGCATATATCACAGCCTTTGAAAGGTCAATTTTCAGGTTCTATGTTTAATCTACTGGTGCAATTTCAACTGTTCGTTCAAATACAGTGATCTTTATATACTGTATTTCCCTCTTTGATTTGACTTCAGGAGCAGAGCTGCCTTCAGGACGGATCCGTCTATCGGGGTGTGAACGAAAGAGTGGCTGAGCAGCGTGTCGAAGGGAAAAGGTCTGTTTGGAGACGCCCCCACAGAAGCCAAGACTTAGGAGTGGTGCCAAGAGTTTGTGTTGGGGGTCTCTTTTGGGTGGAGAGTATGCAGTCTTCGTGTATGAATAGACATGCCCATCCCATCCAAGACCAGCCGCAAACCATGATTCAGTGGTCAACCTCCTCCCCTCGGGACGGACATGAGCCATTTGGTCCAACACTAGGGATGATCCACCACCAGGGATTTATATGACGGGATGGCGTACTCACAGCCATGGTTAAAACCATGGTCATCCATTGGATCATGGGGATTTATATGACCATTTTTTGAGGGATGGGATGACCATACCAAAAAAAACACGGAGTTCCGACCATAGCTCACATGGCTTTTCTCCACCGGGATTGCTCAGTCGACGTTTAGAGGTGAACCTGTCAGTAGAGTCTAGGTTTATCAGGGTGCGTCCTGCATGGCAACAAGTCGGCAACAGTGATGACTGTACTATTTGATTTGTTTTGCGCGGAACTCCCTGTTGACCATTGAAAGAAGTCCAAACTGGAATGAGGCGGACATTTCGGTCCGGAAGCGGGTGAAGCGACATCATTTTTGGTCGCAGAACAGGCAGCTAACGAAACCGCTCCAAGTTTCAAACAGGTCGACCTTCGGGGTCTCAGAGGCCATGCCCAGCTTCTTTGCCCACCGAGCACCCTGCGTGCGAAAGCGAGCGAGGCGTTTTCCTCTGCTTTGGAGCCTCTTGCGCCGAAGCTGCTGGCGTTGTTCTCCACCCCAAAAGTGGGGGGGGGGCACGGTCGCCTCGGCCATGCTCGACACCAAGGATTCCGGTCCCGACATCTTTCTTACCAAAGGATGACTCTCATCACACATTGAGTTTGGCTTTTTGGGCCTCCCCCCAAACCCATGGCCGGGCCTGTCGAACGTCGACACCATTCTTCTACAAGACTCGTACGGACACCGGGACACTGTACGACCCATCGCCTGGTATGCTGACCCATCGGTCCACCCCGTAAAGCATGATTCCGGGCATGATCCGGCAAACCCTACCAGGAGTCACAAGACGGGGTGGTTTTTAGTCCCCAAGTGGCACCCCATGGCACTCCTATCCCAATAGGCACCCCTTTGTGACTGCTGGTATAAAAGCTGGGCTCTGTGGATGTCTTAGGACTTGACCCGTTGACCTTAAACCCGCTTTTCGGGGCTTTCCACCCCATGGCACGCACCCGCTAAGCCTTCGCTTCGGCCGGCCGAAGGCGCGGTCTGTTTCGGGCTGAACACTTGGGAACGACGTGGTGTGAAGAGTCTTTCAAAAGCTCAGCTGGGGCTGGGATCCTTCGGCATCGAACCTGGAGTCGATGTGAAGTTATAGATCTGCCCAGTCCGTCTGGAATGAGTGGCTCGCAAGTTCAGGCAGAGTCAGGGTTGGTAGTGGCAGGCTCCGGTCCTCTCGAGTGAGGTAGTGAGGTGGAAAAGCCATCACTCTGCTTTTTTACAACGTAGATCGCAGTTTGCTGAGCAGTGAAAGCGGCGACTACTATGCGCCGAAAGCACATAGATAGTAAAGTGCAAAAACAGAAAACAGACGTGCCGGAAGCTATCCTTGAGAAAGTGTGCGATAGGTTATGTTCAAAACAAGGACTCCCAAAGCCAGCAATGGGTTTCAGATGGTTTCAGACATTTCCAATCATTTCCCCAACGTGGGAGAGGGACCTCCCGACACTCAAATTGGGCTGCGGCTCAAAATTATAGCTGCACTGTCCTATTTAAACACACAGGTGACCGGTGGCAGTGGCGGTAGTAGCAGTAGCAGTAGCAGTAGCAGTAGCAGTAGGAGTAGTAGTAGTAGCAGTAGGAGTAGTAGTAGTAGTAGTAGTAGTAGTAGGAGGAGCAGGAGTAGGAGTAGGAGTAGGAGTAGCAGTAGCAGTAGCAGTAGCAGTAGCAGTAGCAGTAGGAGTAGTAGTAGTAGTAGTAGTAGTAGTAGTAGTAGTCGTAGTCGTAGTAGTAGTAGTAGTAGTAGTAGTAGGAGTAGGAGTAGGAGTAGCATTCGGAGTCGTAGTCGTAGTCATAGTCGTCCTGTAGTCGTAGTAGTCGTCGTCGTTGTCGTCGTCGGAGGAGGAGGAGTAGGAGTAGGAGTAGGAGCAGCAGCAGCAGCAGCAGCAGCAGTAGTAGGTAGTAATAGGTATAGTAGGTAGTACTGTAGGTCATATGGGGATGGGCCAAAACCTGGAGCCCCGTCATCATGTATTTTGACGTTCGGATTCCAGGTAGGTCAACCAACTTATCCGGACTTATATATCCTCTCACAGAAATATTGACAACAAACCTCACGGTCCTGGATCGTCGTTTGTGGAGCCGGATCGATTGAGTCCTTCTCACTGACCTGACCTGCTGTCGCTGCTGTCGCTCATCCTCCATGGTTCTGGCTTGCCACACATGGCCAGCCTCGACATCTGAGCCAAAAAAGGGCCAAACACACGCAGGACGTGATTTGGACATGCGTGAGAGAACAGTGACTTTTGAGACAGGATAGAACTGGGAGGCTGCCTTTTCTCATGTCAGCCACCTACTTTTGTTCAACCACAAGGGCACAGGAGCTTTGACAAGACAACATGCCGGCAACGTAGCCACGAGTTAGCCAAGAGAACAACATGGAGCACTGGAGCTGGCAAGCCGAAAGTTTGTTCCCAAAGAGCTGATTTGCAGTTGTACCAGGGTCTGCCTCTGCTCTTTATCCAGATTTTTTCTTGGAATCATGGGAGTCCAGACCTCCATCCCCTTGCGATGGATTTATCTTTTTCCTCGAGTGGTCGAGGGCAGCACGGGCTCCATGTACCAGGATGACCGGCAGCGTTTCGAGGGATGACCGGCAGCACAGAAAGCACATGGCGCCCCATGTCGCGCTGCTGAGCCACGACGTGCTGAGCCACGAAGGGTCTCTCTCCTGGTCTCCCTGGTGGCCCGTTGCTGGGCGGTCTGCTCATCGACCATTTCGGAGACCTGACACTCTATATAGGGAGGTTCGAAGGGACCATGGGCATCCAAGAGATGGACCGCTGTGAAGGCTGTGATTCCACCCGAAATCTCCCCATTGACATCCATTGACCCATTGACCCCTGTTACCAGAAGCCGAACACGGTCATTGAGCTGGTGCGTAAGTAAACCCCATCCTCCAGATGTCGCCCGCGCTTCAGACTTTCCGTTGGAGCTCATGAGCGGCCGGACGAGAAGATGTTTGTCCATTGTGATCATGATGCATGTGGCATGCAAAAGTCCTGAGGTACAATTCTGGTTCTTCGTACAGGGCATGCAAATCAAACGGCATCTGGCAATTTTGGGGTTGCATGCAGGGTTTTGACTCTGAGCTACGTGCTCCAACTAAGCCCTAAAGTATCACTGACTCTCCAAGCATGCAACACTGGGCGGCCGCATGAATGTGTCAAGATGGCTAAGAAGCCGCCTTGCCCGGGGTCCCAGGCATGGTCGGTATGGTAAGCACCGGGAGATGCTGAGTGTGAGCAGTTCCACATGTTCCCAGTCGGAACCGGTCTGCGTGTGTTCATGATGTGAACTACGAGAGGGCAGTGGATTGACACGTGCCGTCCATGTTTCGCACCGATGTTCGCACCGTGTCTCGGAACAAAGAGCACCCGCTCCGACAGATGAGCCGCCCAGACGCTCCAAACAGCCCTTGGTCCCTCAAAACCTAGGGATTTGAGACCCCTGACCCCTCCATATGAGGGTCCATGAGCGTCTTGGTGGATGGCACAGCGTGTGGAGGACATCCGGACCACGAGCGGACCCACATCCTTCATCGATGGCTTGTCTAAGCTCAAAGGCTTCTCAACAAATGAAGCTTCCCAACAACTATAACACCACTCTACTCAGCTTCCAACCCCAAAAAGGACCTCCAACAAGTCCATGTCCATGTTCGTTCTTTTTCGTTCCTTCTTTTTCCTCACACCGATTCGTTCCCAAAGCGTTCTCCGCACGAAGCTCTGCTCAGTGCCTGACAATGTGATCCCCTTCCTGCGTATCACGGTGTTGGGGACTCCCAGTTCTGGGAGTCGTGCGAAAGGGGGGGGGACCGTGTGATGCTCTGGGTCCCATGCGACGTCTGAATTGGTTGATGCCACCTCCCTGTGTTCTCGGCTTGGCGCTTGGCCGTGGCATGGGCGCGCCTTGGATGCCGGTAACCCGAGTTCCACCCGTGGTAGAGGCCATTTCCTCTTCCAAAGGTGCATTTTTTGAGGTTCCATCCAGCAGTCACAAAGGGGTGGTGTATTGTTCCTAAGTGAGTGGATGTTCTGGGCACCCCTAACCTCCATTAAGCACCCCGACATGTGACTTCGCGGGGTGTATTTGGGATCGTTGGTTCTGGCCTCATTGATTTGGACAGGTTCGACACAGGTTCGTCTCTCGCTCGTCTCAGCATCGCCGGTGGAACACAAACAGATGGGGCCGATGGAAGGGTCCAGGGTTCTCAGCCGGATCGGGGCGATTCTTGGGAAGCCCCGAACTGGGGAAGATGTTCTTTCTCCCGGTTCCGGACCAGATCCTAGTCAGTCTCTGTCCGAAGCCTGCACACGACACGACCCGGTCGGGCCCTGGCAGGAGGTCCGGCTCATTGGAGCTCTGCTCTGAGGGCTGGTTCGAAGTCATACGGATCCTGAAGTCCCAGCCGTATTCCCACGGTAGGACCAACCCGATCCCTGAATCAGCACCCCGTTCTGGCCGCCACGTCCAGGATCGGGGATGCTGACAGTGGCAAGACCAGTCGGCAGCTAAGCATGTCGGGTGTCAGTTCGATTCCAGACGTCGCTAAACCCATGCTTTCCACGCCTTATATCGAAGGCGGGAAGGGAAGGTGGAGCTCCAAGCTGCTGGGGGGGATCAGCTCCTGATTAAGTAGTCCAAACGAGATAGGGCCCCCACATAAGAGATAGATAGAGATAGTGTATTTGAGCCAAGTATACGAGGATTCACCCATTTTCCACCTAAACGCGTCCGCGTGGACCCGCGTTTCCTTCGTTGGGGAACTCCCCGGTGTCTCCACGGAATGTCCACGGTTTTCTGGGGAAGGATTGGCCTTGTCACTGAGGTCTCATCAATGCCTGGGTGAACAACTCCTGCTCAACGGTGCGCACCAAAAGGGGGGTCACGTCACGCCGAGCGACACAGAGCGACCGCACATTCCGCTTCAAGAAGACCAGTTTGAAACATGTGCCAATTGGTGTGCGTGCAGAAGTCATTTGTGTGCGATGTTCAATTCGTGGGCTTCCACCCACTTTTGCAGGCTAGTCTTCCAAATAGCGACCGACCGTGGCATGTGGGACCGTGGCGCGGAGACCCGTCCTTCGCGTCTCCGGACTCTGCCAGAGCTACACTCCGACGCTGGATCCCACGCTCTACCACAGGCCGCACGGTTCTTTTTGTGGCGGGGGGCGCCTTTCTTTTTTTTTTGGTGGGGGGGGGGTGAGGCCGGAGGTTTACACAAGCTGTGGGGGTTTGATTCGAAAAGAGGACGAAAGAAGCGATTCGTGCGATTTGACACTGTTTTTTGAAGAGAGGCAGTTCGGGTGTTCTTTTTGGATAGGTCAGCCCAAAATAGGCCTTGAAGACTCGCCCGAAGGCTGGCAAAGTCGGGTTCAAGCGATGAATCAAGCAGGATTCAACAGCAAAAATCCTCAAGACACTGGTCTCCTACAATCGCACAGTTTCTTCGATCCCAAAAGCCCACGACTCGAAGATCGACTGGAAGAGGATGAGCTGTCTGGTCTCCTAGCTGGTGGCAGGTCAGTGATCCAATGGATCAAGGCCCAGTGGGTAGATGGGTCTATTTTTCAACACGCACACACACAGGTTGAACTATACATGGCAAGTGCTAATAGATTGAGCGTGGATAAAGTCTCGTACTGGGCCACTGGGCTTGGCATAACTGGCACTTGTGGCACTTCTGGCACTTGATTGCACTCCTGGTGTTTGCTCCAGCATTGCCATGGCATATCTACATCACCTTCCCATCCAAAGCGTCTGGACTTCAGACAGGACGATGAAGATCCCCAATCCGCTAGAAGAAGAGGAGACGGTGACCGCCCTCATCGAGTGCCTTGGCTATCCTTGGCTCGGTGCTTGTCCGATCTGGAGCACCTGCGTTCAGATGCAGTTGGCATGGCACGGAGAGCCCCTGGGGCTCCGCACGTCTCCGGTTTTTCTGCACCGGTCCTGGGCGTCCGCCTGGGCTCAGGATTGAAGACACCTATGCACCGATTCGCACGGGTGGCATCGACATGTGCGCCGATTCGGGGGCTTTTCACGGCCATGTGAGGTCAATGACAGAGAAGCCCCCGACCCACGGAACAGACGAATCCGAGCAACACACACTACAAGACATGGGTCTGTTTTGGTATGTGGGACTGGGTTGAGCTCAAAACACGTCAGCTACTGGGAGACGCTTGTACCGCCGAGAGAGTCCACCTCTCTGCTCGCTTTCGCGGCGTCGAACTCCCCCCCCTCTCGGCCGCGGCTTCAGCCGACGTCTCTCCGCCAGGTACGGCCAGAAGCGGGACGTGGACGAACTCATCGAGGCTCCCAGAAGCACCGAGAGGGGCGGTGCCGAAAACCGCCCCAGGCGCTCCGTGAAAACCGCCCAGATGGGGGTCCCTCCAAATGCGGGATTGGAGGGGTCCCCCCGGCCCCCTCCATATATGAGGGTCCAGGGTCGCGTGGTGGGGAGTTTTCCAAAACAGTGGGCCGGTGGGTGTGGTGTTTGTTGCACGGAAGAAAAAAAGGTCGATCCAGTTACTGTCGCTGGTCACCAGTGGTATTGGAATCACAGACCTGAAAGTCCTGGTTCCTTGTAATGTAGACTCTTGAGGACCATACACCCCCCATATTATATGAAGAGGAGAAAATCCACTTCATATGGGGGGTTTATTAATCAAGAGTCTACATTAGATGGTAGTCCTGGATCCTCTGACTCATGTATATAGGTCAAGTCGGCACATGACCGAGGGCATGCCCTGAATGGTTAGTTCATTCATGGGGAAAGGGGATCCTCCCGGTCGTGCACAACCCATGGTGGTACCCAATAGGCATGTGGTACATGGTGGTACCATGTGGTACCCAATTCCACCCTATATAGCCAAAAGGAATCTCTCATTTTTCCCACCTTCTCCCCCTATTCCTTCCTACCCCCACCTTCCTCCCTTTCGCATCCCGACCGGGGTACGTCGTCTGGGCAGGTGAAGCCTCCCCCGCGTGAGCCGGTGGTCACCCCGCAGTACTACGGGCCCTTCGCCGAGTACGAGGCGCGCGCGCGCGCGCGGAGACCCACGGGGGGGAGGGGGATGGAGTCCGGATCACGGAGGCACGGAGGTTCCGGATCCACCATGTTGGGTGGGTTGGGTGATGTCGTGGTTATACCAGGATCCTCCAAGGTTCGGCTCTTTGGAGACCCGACCACAGGTGGTGAACCTGGGCACCGGACTTGGAAACACAGGAAGCACCTGTGAAGTCGGGTGCTGGTAGGTATACGGGTTTCTTCGATTTTCACTGGTTTGAGGTTTCAACGGACTTTCCGAAGGTGGGCCAAGCACAGTGCCTCACCCGAAAGCAGACATCCACGTCCCATGAGGAATCCCCCTGGGGCTATGATGTTTCATCCAACTCCTTGATCACCTCCAAGATCATCGTCCTTTCGAAGAAACGCCCCAGCCGCCCCACATGTTGTTTGTCCATGATCAGCATGACCCACCTCGTCCGTCTCATCGTCCCACCGGAGCCAATCTGCACGGTCACCGGAACCGCGACCGGGACCTTGCGGATCGGTGTTGCGGTTTCCAATCAACTCCTTCTCTCGCAGAGGAAGGCGCCTTTGGACGAGGAAATGTCCAGTGACCGTAAATAGGACCCGTCACCTGAAGTACCCAACTGGGATATATACAGTATAGTCGAACAGTCGGGTCCTTCAACCTCTGTTGGACAGCGGTTAACAAAAGACCCGTCAAGACATATCGATCTTGGAAGCTCGGAACGGCGACCGGTTCTTTTGTTTTCCCGAGGGAGGAAAGACATACTACGTAATCACTTTTTAAATTTCGGTGTGGAGGTGTGTGATATATTTACCTCAAACTGGTGTCTGGTGTCTGGTGCTCATCGTCCTTTTGTTTTTGGGGTCAAATGGAGTCTGAGTTCGTTGACTTTCCCTCCAAAATGAGAGTCTCTGGTTGACCCCAACGCAACCCTGAAGGGTCCCTCCGGGCGCCCCCGGCGAAAAGGCGCTGACGCAACTGGAGTGCGAAGCTGAGCGCCGGTGTGCCTGCATCCATCGAAAGCTCCCCAGACGTAGACTCATTCAAGCTGGGGGTTTCAAACTGGGGGTGATAATAATATCATTGACATCAAGGGTTTAACATGACTCAAGCCATTCTGGTGCCAAGACATGTGGATGGCGGCCCCCGAAAAAGGGCCCTGGGGCCCTGGGGGTTCTGAGCGGTGATGGCGGGGGTGATGTCACGCGACGGCTCAGGTATCGGCCGCTCTCCCGGTGCAGGCGGCTCTCCAGCGGCGTGACCGCCGTCAAACCGCTTTGGACTGAACGTGTCCCACCCTGAACTCGTTGAAGGCTGAGAGACCATCTAGGACCCTGTAGTGGTACCGGGATGGGCTGACTTGGATGGGCTGCTTCAACCTCTCTCGGGAAGTCCACCAAAACTCGTTTGAAACGAGCGGAAGCGACGAACCTCGGACTCGGAGCGAAAGGGGATGGCGGCAGCCTCGCCAGGATGGGTTTTCTGCTCGTCTTCGATGCCACGGTGGAGGCGAGGGGGGGTGGCCACCGGCGACGGTGGACGACGGTGGCACCACCTGGTGGGGGGGTCTGCGGGCACTGTAACGGGGTCCTGCTTTTTGGGGCCATGGATTTCATGATGAAGAGGTCTTTCACTTCAATTGGGGGAAGTTATGAATCATGAGTCTAAGGAGATGGTTTGGTCATGTTCAGAGAGAGTGTTCCTGCCATTCTTGTTCCCTAGAACCCTGGGACGATGGACCCCTGCAGGGCTCAATCGGTTCATCCCAGCCAGTTTGCAAGATTTCGAATGACCAATGCTGGCTATTCCTATGTGACCTATGTGATTCTGGGCGTTAGATCCGGACAAAAATCACTCGATTTTCTGAGAGGAGTCACTCAAGACGGCCATGGAGATGTTCAATAGCATTTGCCTCCAGTCCGCGTGCCTCGGCCGAAATGAACACTTCGCCGGAGAGACAACTCGTGGCCAAGAAAGCATGGCCGTCACTTGAATCACTTCGGTCATACTCTGTTCTCCCTTCACCGGGTCGACGTTGGACACCATCCAACTTTTGCCAACCTTTTGAAGGACGTTGTGGAGGGTCTTCCCCCTCAGTGCGGTGGGGGGGGGTTTGTCTCTCCCTGCGGAAGCCCTTGGTGTCTAGACCCCCGGCGGTGGATCCACCGCGGTGGGGCCGAGGTTTCGAGACTTCACACCTGGACCTTCTGCCATCACAATTATTGGGCCCACTGGGGAAAACCCATCCAGTAGCAAGTGCAAGAAAAGCTTTCTTTTTAATGTATCACGAAAGGTAGCTTGAGCTGCCTGAGTTCTCCTTGCTTTAGCAAAAATGTATTACAATCAGGAGTTGGGATTGTGCATTGAGTTTGGTCCTGTAAGAGATGATTCTGTTCGTCGCGGGGGGGGGCCCCTGGATCAAATCCTCCCTGCGCCGGTTCACGCCGTCATGGACTTCTACCAGGCTGGGTTACTTGTGATTGCCTGCTACCTTTCGTTCACCCCCTCCTCTCTCAAGTTTATTTATTTACTTATTCCCCCGATAGCGAAGCTATGGGGTTCTTACTTCAAATAACAATGTGTTGCCCGTGCGCGCTTTCGAGACAGGTTGCCGGTGCTGGTGCTGGTGCTGGTGCTGCTGGCTGTGCACGTGGTGGAGACAGGTTGCTGGTGCCGGTGCTGGTGCTG